AATATTTATTCTCAATAATAATGCATGGAAAAGTCTTAGAACACGAGTATTTGATATATATATATCTCCAGGTATATATATGTGATTTAATCTGGAGGGATGGTGCTATTTTTTAATAGGAGGAAGATGTATGGATATTTGAAATTATCCCTATTTGACATTCCCTCAGGTTTCCTTTTCTTCTGTTTGTTTCTTTTTCTTTTTTCATGTTTCAGGGAAGTCGTGTTTGGAAGGATTTTGACATAAAAAGGAAAGCTGGAGGGGCCTTATTCAAGCCTGTAAGAAAGGAATTTCAGGTTCAAGTCACAGAAAACTATATTGAGGTCCATCTCTGTTGGATTGGAAAGGGAACTTGCTGCATACCAGAAGATAATACTTTTGGTCTTCTGATATCAACCATCAGAGCAGCCAAAGGTTAAACTATACAAAAATAGTCAGCCGTCCAGAAGTTCAATTACTGATTTTCCATGTATATATGATTGATATGTTACTTATGTGTTGTATAGATTTCAAACTTCCTAACAGAACCTATCTGATTATGGGAATTGTTGTTGCTATCGGATCTGCTGTAAGCTTTTTTCTGTTCTTGTAGTTTTATATATTCGGAGAAGAAAGCATCATGGAGATGGCGATGATGGTAAGCAAACTGGGAAAAAAAATATTGCTGTTTATAAATATCCCTTTGAATTTTAAGCATGCATATTCAAAAATGTCATTTCATGTAAAAAAACAAGAAGAAAAGAAATCATTTAATATTGCAGTCAGTTCCTTTTTCAAGCAGCAATTTGTTACTTAATTTCTGTTTGTCCATAATGACAAGACATTTGCTGATATCGTGATGGCATTTTTTTTATCCAATTATAGGCTTTGCAACTAAAGATAACCAAAATATTAACCATATGTTTAGATGGGAGAGCAGTAGTAAGAGGATAAAATTTAGAGGAGAGAAAACATGACAGAAAAATATTGTTGTTTATACAGCAAGGAAAAATAGGAATAAACGAAAAGTGGAGGAAAAGAGAGACATAAACCTAGCTACATGCATGTTTTCTCCTTGAAGTTATCTCTTTAAAAGTTTTGAAAATAGTTTCAACAACTTAGAGTTTAAAATTTATTCATTCATGATAGATATTAGATATTATTATCATTGTCAAATTAGTCATTTTTCTTTTTTTTGTATTTTCTCTTGTTCATCTAGACTTAATGAAAGAAAATATTTTCTCTTTATTTTTTCTCTCCCACTCTCTTTTTTTCCCATTTTCTCTTTCCCTCCAAACAAATTCAAAGTCCAAGTATAGAGTTTTGTTACCTTATTTCTTTTCTTCAATTTTAAATAAAGGCAAAGTATGCATAAGAGTAAAAGTTTTCTTTTTGAATTTAACTGCAAATGGGGTTTTAGCACCAGATACGCCCTAGCTAGCAATAATTTCTTTGCACAATCCATAACCTTGTTCTTGTTCAATTTGTAGATCTTTTAGGTATTGATACCAAGTCATATACTTTCAACTATTCTGAGTTAAAGAATGCTACAAATGACTTCAATCCTAGCAAAAAGTTGGGGGGGAGGTTTTGGACTTGTATATAAGGTGAATGTATAGGGCTTTTACTTTGTTGAAGAATGAAGTTTTCATTTATAGATGTCCTAAAACCAAATATATAGCCTTTATATAGAGAATAAAAGGTTTCTGTTTTGTATACCAAGGAACACTTAATGATGGAAGAGCAATTGTTGTGAAAAGACTATCTTAAGATCTCATTAAGGAAACAGTCAATTCAAAGCAGAGATTGCTACTATATCAGCTGTGCAACATCGTAATCTTGTCACATTATATGGATGTTGCATTAAAGGAAATGAAAGACTACTTGTCTATTAGTATTTAGAAAATGGGAGTCTTCATGAAGCCTTATTTAGTACAATCATTTTCTACTGTGCACATGTCCATGTTCTCCTGCCTTGCTTTTATTCCCCTTAACTATACTTAGGATATATTCACTTGTATATTGCAAGAAATAATTTTACTCTCAACTGGCCCACTCGTTATGATATCTACATGGGTGTAGTAAGAGGCTTAGCATATCTTCATGAAGAGTCTCGGCTTCACATTGTGCACCGTGATACAAAGGCTACTAATGTTCTGCTTGATCATGACCTTCTCCCTAAAATATCAAATTTTGGTTTGGCCAAATTGTATGATGATAAAATAACCCATATAAGCACCCGTGTGGCTGGGACATTGTAAGTCATTAAGACCTATTTTTCTTGCTTTTTTACTCAACATACCAACATAAATTTTAGGGGGGATATATATTTAAGTCCCAAAAGATAGATCTAGTGTTAGTTAAGTCCATGAAAAAAGTTTCTAAAATATGAGTCGCAAATATTGACTCAGATAGTTATAAAGTAAAGTAATAATTGTAAACAAATAATTATATTTAAAATTTAACTACCTCCTTTGAGACTCCTGAATTTGTATATGTCTGAATCAATATTTGCAGCTCATTTTTTTTGGAAAATTTTATTGGGAACCTAACTATCATTAAATCAATCTTTTAGCACTTGACTATATACCATTCTTCTTAAAATTTATATACGTACGTTGAAGTTTGTTTTGATAAACACTCATGAATTACGAGTAATGGCTATCTTGCTCCAAAGTATGCCATGTGTGGTCACCTTACAGAGAAAGCAGATATGTATTCCTTTAGTGTTTTGGCCCTAGAGATAGTTAGTGGGAGACGAAGTTCTGAGGAGGAGGTGTATCTTTTAGAATGGGTATGTATTACCTGTGTGTTTCCTATAATTAGGATGGGTTTGGTTTCTATATCATTTCGAGTTTTCATTCTTTATTTACACATGCAAAATTTTATTGTTTGGAAATGTTTTGTTTAGTTAAAAATGTGCCTTATTACAAAATGCCACCACACATTTTATGGAAAATATTTTCTTCTAAATTCTACTCAGCACATTTTTATTCATGTTTTGGTGAACTTGTTTTATCACATGAAAATAGTGGAACCTAAAACATAGGCATGTAAAAAGAATGCAACGAACTTTGGCAATCAAATTCTGAGAATTGTTAAAGCTTGAATTAAAGTTAATGATGAAATATGAAGAAACTTATGGGTAGGTTTGGTTTCCTATTTCATCAATGTTTTTTATTTTAATTTAAAACCAAATAAAAAATGTGTTTTTGGTTATGTGTTCTAAAAAATTAAACAAAAGTTAATTTTTTTTATAAAACCAAAAATGCTCATGGTGTTTTGTTACTTTGTGTTCCACAAAATTAAGGAGAGGTGGAGAGCATTATATTTTTATTAATGATTATCATTTTAATAAAGAAAAAATTCTTTCAATCTTCTCTTCACCATTGTTTTCATGTTTTTCAAAATAATTATTCAAATAGATTTTTTAAATTTTTTGCTTCAATACTTATTCTGAAAAAATTACTCCACAAAATTTTTCTAAAAGCATAAAAATAGAGAATGAAATCAAACAAATCCTATTTTATCTTTTCTTCAAAAAAAAATCTTTTCTCATCATCAACCTAAAAAATTATCATTTATTTATGTATATATAAATAGAATCAATAGTTATTGATAGACTGTTGTTCATGTCATTTTTTTAACAAGTAATAAATTGCATAAAAATTCCCTTGCAATGCAGGAGGTGACTTCTAGTTATGTGTGTGTATATATATATATATAAACTATGAACATGTAACTATTTATTTACTATAATCTAGGTAGTGTTTTTGAAAAATAAATCCCCTTATGCACTGCCCAAAAGGACATTTTAGTCAGCTAAAATATAGAAAGCATAACTGAAAATATAAAATAAAAATAAATAGCTAATGTGGTCATGTTTAGATATATTGATTATTCCTTTTTGATTTTGAGCAAAACACACACACACACACATATGATTTTCGAGTCATCAACAGGTTTGGCAACTGCATGAAGAGAATCGTATAGTTGAAGTGGTAGATCCCAGACTATCATCATATTTCAATGAGAAAGAAATTAAGAGAATGGTGGGGATATCTCTTCTGTGCACTCAAGCATCACTATCTTTAAGGTTGGCAATGTCACGTGTGGCAGTAATGCTTTATGGAGATATGAAAGTGAGCACTGTAACTTCAAAGCCTGGATACGTGACAGACTTGAATTTCGATGATGTGAGCAGCTGCAGGACTAGTCAAGTGACAAAGCGATCAGAAGAAACTCAGTACGACTCAATAACAAGTGCTAGCATTGTCAGCCACCCAAACCAATCACCTGTAGATGCTTCTAAACCCATCCTTCATCAAACTCTCTCTCAAGGTTGTTAAGCATTGATTGATCATGTTTTGTTGTCTAATGGCAGCAAAGGCCCTCTAATGCCCTAACTGCCCAAATAAGTTTTTTTTATTGATTATTAAATTCTACATGTGAAGTTTTGATATTTTATGGACATGAAATGATGTCATTTTAGAGCTTAGACTGTGTTACGATATTATAAGAAAACCAATAGCATAATTTTAGAGTAACGCAATTCTTCTCTTGTCCATGGGTAAATTATAGTCCATGGTAGAGCATGGGGCCATTCAACTCATTTTCTTCCACCTCCCCACACCCCAAATGAGTTTTAAGCTCCTACATATAGGCTTTCTTTGGTCTTTAATATAGATAATTTGTTATTGTCCCATAGTCCAAAATATTCTCTCAGGGTCTTAAATGCAAGTCACATTTAATGACCTCACATATACCATATCCAAGGAAAGAAAACCAAATTGGGGTAAGATTCTACTCCCTTCCATCCAAAATATAGGAATTAGCTAGTTTGAGGATTTTGTTTTGGTATCATGTATAAGATATCAATTTATTTTATTTATTATACGTATTATTTTTCCTAGATTACCAGTCAGAGAAGAAAATGAACCAAATATAGAATTATGAAATTGAACATGACTATTATTCTTTTAGAACATTGGAAAGCTTTTCAATACTTGCCGCCATAATCCTTAGTCTCTTGGGAGGACAAATAGTATGCCGAGCAACCCTATTGACCCAAAAGAACAACAATACACACAAATGTGAGACATAAAGAAAAAAAATAAGGTCCTAAACATGCATGCATACAATGAAAACACAAGTATTGAAGCCAATTGGCAACAAACCTTCTAGCTTAAAAGATGTCTCCTCGTCTATCTCACACCCGAATCCGAAGTACCTCTCACAAGAAACATTATAAATCCTCTTCTTAGCTTCCTCTTCACTGAAAAGTGAGAATTGAAAATCAGGTGCAATGAATAACAAAAAGCCAGGAGGGAAGTTTCATTTTCTCAAGGAATGCAGCAAACAAAATTAGTATACATTCCGACAATCTTAGCAATAGTTTGTAGATAACAATCAATCATCCGTTGTTTGGTAGTACCCTCTCCCCCTGGCTTGTCCATGACAATGAGCCAGTGCTCATAGTCACAATCAGGAAATAGTGGGGCCATCTCTATGTGTGGTCGGCCACTGAAGTTGAAGCCTGAGTTGCCGAACCGATTGATGTGGCATTGGAAGATCGTGAAACAAACCAGAGCAAGCAAGCACAATGCTAGAGAAGGTGGGTTGATAGATCTGCGAGCGAGGAGGATGGTTGGGATAAGAGGGGATTGGGTAATGGACATGGAAGTGGTGGAGAGAAGGCGTCTAGGAAGGAAAATAGGGAAGCAGAAGAAGAGCAAGAAGTTGGAGCTTGGGCGAGTGCCATTCCTAGAGGAAGAGGATGATCAGAGAGGGTTTTGCAATCTTGCCCTTGTCCTGTCTCCTTTTCTCATCTTTATCAGCTATTCACTAGCACACTGAGATTACCAACCCAATCCCAAAATTTAAAAACAAAAAACAAACACGAAGAAAACACTGCTGCATAAATGCATCAAGGAATTAGGAACTAAAACAACATAGGTGCAGCGGGTTCTAGCATAAATGATGGTTAGTCCTCACAACATGGTGAATTACGACTCGAATCTCATTAAAAGAAATACTCATAGTGCCTGATAATATTTTGAATAAAATTGCTTTCCATAAGAAAATACTTATACGTAGCCAAAAAAAAATGAAAAGGGTGATTGCTCAAACACATATTGGTGTTCAGGATGTATCTCCACAAGTAAGGAAGCGGCTGATTCAATCGATCATTCAGCGAGGGAAAAAAAATTGATAGAGGGATGGTCCAGAGGCACAGAACCTCTCCTCTCCCTTACGGTCCTCTTACCATCATTTTCTCTAGTCCTCACCCTCCATTTCATTTTACAGTTATGAAACACTCAATAAAATATTGAGATTTGTAGTAAAATACCATCAAGACAGTGAATCTTCAATTTTAAATCTAACTGCCTTTTTTCCCCCTTTAAAAAAAGCCCATTTTCCCAATTACTCTATGTACTATGTGAGTAACACAACTTGCCTTGAGTTTAATTTAATATGCGAGAATAATTTTCATTCTAATATGAGAGTAAAATGTTGTATTTATATGTGCAAATCTCAATATTTTATTGAGTGTTTCATGAGTGTAGGATGAAATGGAGGGTGAGGATTAGAGAAGAGGATGGTAAGAGAACCACAAGGGAGAGGAGAGGTTCTGTGTCGATTGTCGGACTTTGGGAATTTGTAATTAAATCCCAAATAAATCTAATTAAAATAATCATAACCAAAATCAGGACTATACGTTTTTTCAATTTTCTTTTAGAAAAAACTTAAAGTTAAGTTCATTATATCCAGTATGTCAAGTTCTCTACTAGCACATGTTCATGTGTTTTTTTTTATTTCATGTGAATTTATAATTAAATACCTAATATTTCAAAAATAGGACAGATAATTATATGTTATTGAAAAACTTGATATAATCGATATAAAAAACTTGATTATTGTTCTTTTCCTTTTTAAATTATAGAGAATTATTTTGGTCTCTCAACAATATTCAAAATTTTTTGATGAGTCCTCTTGGCCTATTAAAAAATAGAGGCCTGAATTTGAATTTTGTTATTTCGGATCAATTTAATTAGCATTCACCATAAAAAAGCTTAATAAATAAAATTTATTTATTAATCATCATAAAAAATTATTGTAATAAAAAGGAAAAGGAGACAAAGACAAGCCTAACGCTCTTCTTTTTTGATACAAAAGTGGGCTACCTGGCCAAATTAAAAGAAGCAAACCCCATTACAACCATGATCCCCAAGAGTCTCTAAATTCTCTGGACAAGTGTCCATCAGCAAAGAACGAGGCCATAATTTGGAAGTCCCTTGATATATATTTTAAATCCACTTCCCAGTTGAAACGCAGCAGCTCCCATCTCCTAAGAAACGTGAGGCTATAATTTTCAGCAAATCTCCCAACGCTGCTATCTGCAAGTTTGAGAGTGAAATTTTATGGATTGGGCTTCCTAGCGGGCTGAGTTACAAATTCAAGATGACTGTGGCCCATAATATCTGGGCTTTGATATTCTCCATTTTTTGTTCATTTTGTCCTTTTTTTAAAAAAGAAAAACTAAGTAACCAACGGGGGTTGAATTTAGTAGAAAAAGCTAATTCCTCACAATATGGCAAACCAAGATTCGAATTGCCACTAGGAGAGATGCTTGACAGTGTTTTGAATAGGATTGCTTCTAATAGGAGGATACTTATACTTTAGCAAAAAAAAAAACTAGGTAACATTTGATTCCTTAAAATATTTTTCTATTGTCTTAAAGTACTTTTTGGTATATTTACTACCTTAAAATATTTTTTTTGGTAACACTCAGTATTCCAAATTTATTTCTTTTTGAATTCCAACAAAACTACTTATGCCAAAATACCATTATTGTTTGTCCAGTAAAATACTTTTTAGGAGATGTTTGGATGAAATCAAACCATGATTTGGAGAATAGCTTCTGGATAATAGATTTTGGGAGAATACATTTTGTGAAGAATAGATTTTGTGAAAAAGTTATTCTGATAAAGTGAGAGTGTTTGGATAGTTGTTATCTACAAATTACTAAAAAGGGCATAAGTTAATATGATAACTATATAAAAAAAGAGATGTTATAATATATTTTAGGAAAAATGACATTGAGGTCCCATGAAGAAGAAAATACATCAAATAGGTCCCCTGAAATCTCATAATTATTTTGAAGTCCCAAAGGGACTTAGATGCAATTTTCAGAATGCACAAATTACTCCCTTGCCCTACCCCTGCTATCAGAAAAAAAGACAGGAGAAGTTCATTTGGGTGAGGATTTCCCGTGCAAAATTATCATGGTGAAGCTTTTGTAAATGCGAGGATTTCCATGGGTGAAGAAGATGTTGAAGCTTCTGTAAATGCGAGTAATATGACAAATCTTCAAGTGTGGAACTTTCTTTTCTCTCCTCTCTTACCTTTCTTGACAGATTGTGTATTTGTTTGGGAATGGGAAATCAAAAAATCATTTTTGCCGTTAGTATTTCAAAGCTTTTGTTTTTGGTTTAGGATTCAGAAGTTAATGAATGGAAAAGCTTTGTTTTTGGTTGGTGTGTGTTGTGATTTAAGTTGGGTGTGTAGAATGATAATGGGTGCTTTGTTTTTGGGTGATTTTCCTCTGTTCTGATATTAGTTTAGTGGCAAAGGAAGAAAAAGATGAAGGTTAGTGAGGGTAGAAACCCTTAGCACAAAATGGGATTATGTTGTCAATCAGGCTGTGATTGTTGTCAATGTGTGCCGCAAAACTTGTCAATGTAGCTCCTTAAGTTGTCAATGACAGTCGCATGCTTCTTGATGCAGGTTTAAGTTACTGATGGCGAGTACGTCTGGAAAACATCTATTTTGCTTTGTTCACATAGGGGAAAAGTTTATAAATGATGGAGAAGATAATATGAGATATGTGGGAGGTAGTGTAAGAACAACCAATATAAAGGAGGGCACAAGTTATGAAGAATTGAAAGAAATTTTATCATCAATTACTGGAAAAGAAAGGAACTCATTTCTTCTGAAATTCTTAGTTGTGTTTGATAAAAAAAACTTTTGTGGAGTTGGTAGATGATGATGGGGTGGAACATTTGATAAAGTTCAATGAAGAAAGTGGTCATGTGTGTGTCGAAGAAAATGAAAATGAGGACCACATAGAAGCAACAAGGGATGATATAATGGAGGAGCAAGATGTGTAAGTATAGTTTAACAAAACTGTTATTGTGATTTTTTAGTATGTCAGTTGTTACTGTATTGCTACCAACTTGTCAATGCATGCACCCTGATTTGTCATTTTCTGCAGGAAGGTCAAATTTAGCTGCTTTAATTGTGATTGATGACTTAAGGTGCAATGTTGACAAGAGTCCTAATAAAATTAAAAAGGACTTGTATAAAGAATATGGAGTGCAATTGAACTATACTCAAGCATATAGGGTTAGGAAGAGAGCACTAATGGAATTACATGGTCGAGTAGAAGATTCTTATAAGGTAATCCCTTGGATGTGTGAGAGACTAATGGAAATTGATCCTGACATAGTTGCAAGATGGGAAGGCTCAGATAGCAACCGATTTGAGAGGCTATTCATTGCATATGGATGCTCAATTAAAGGCTTTGTGGACTGTTACATTGTACTGTCATTTTAGTTGTCATTACCTGCACCCTGAGTTGTCACTAGACCTGTTATGACTTGTCAATCATTGCACTACGACTTGTCAATGAATTTGCTGATGTAAGTTGTCAACAACATGAATTCAAGTAATATAACCTTTTTTACCATGAAATGATATTTAGAATCACTCTATCATATTATATTTTGGTTGTATGGTCATATATAATCATTATTAATGAAGTGTCAAAAACTCACCTCTCCCTTGTCCCCTGTCAGTGGTGGCTCTGTGACTTGTCAATGACAACACTGTGACATGTCAACAGAGCACTGTGGCTTGTCAATGACAACATTATCCCTTGTCAATGGTTTATCCGGTGACTTGTTAATGGAGCATTGTGACTTGTCAATACAGTACTGTAACTTGTTAATGGCAACACTGTCTCTTGTCAATGGTTGCATTATGACTTGTCAATGGGGCACTGTGACTTGTCAATATAGTACTGTGACTTGTTAATGGCAACACTGTCCCTTGTCAATGGTTGCACTATGCCTTGTTAATGGGGCATTGTGACTTGTCAATACAGCACTGTGACTTGTTAATGGCAACACTGTCTCTTGTCAATAGTTGCACTATGCCTTGTTAATGGGGCACTGTGACTTGTTTGTGAGAACACTGTCCCTTGTCAATGGTCACTGTCAAGAGAGCACTGTGACTTGTCAATGGAGTACCGTGACTTGTTAATGGCAACACTGTCCCTTGTCAATGGTTGCATATGACTTGTCAATAGGGCACTATGACTTGTCAATGGGGCACTGTGACTTGTCAATGGAGCACTGTGACTTGTTATGAAATTCTCGTATCACTTGTCATTAACTCCTGTTATATTAGTTGTTATTTTGGATAACTCAGGTTGTTAATTTAAACGCAAGGTAACCAACCATAATATCTCTGCACATATAAAATAGAAATATAATTAAAAATGTAATAAAACCCTAACAAATTAGTATTACAATATGTGATGACAAAGGTAATAATACTATAAACATAATCTGATCAGTTTGTTACAAAATGATGTATTTGCTAATCATCTTACAACACATATCATGGGCTAAGAGAACAAAAAATTTATAGACTACTCTATCTCCTCTTCTTGGTCTTGTTGTAGTCCGATGGCATCGACATCACTTCACTCCCATGTTCATTATTTGGATGGGTAACCAACCACCACAAACAGTCAACCTTCAGCTCTTGTAGTTCATCATTAGAGTATCGTGGCATTGTATATCCTGCATCATCTTGAACAGTGCCATCCCACTCTTGTAGCCAAGAGATAACATGAACTCCACATGAATCACTACCAAGTAAATTGAAAATGTTAGCACCTTGCAATTGTTATTGTGAACAAAAACAACATAACACAATCGAATAGAACAACTACACTTACGTATCATTCTGCACATAGACTTTAGCCCATTTCACTTCGTTGTCAATTTTGTCCTCATTGACAAACAATTTTGGCTTAACAGCACGTAGCATCGAATGGAAACAGTTTATCTGGGGAAAAAAACACACACATACATAATGAAAAGGCATCACTAACAACACAGCATCCAGTAACAAGGCACAGAGCATCCAGTAACAAGTAACACAGTATCCAGTGACAAGGGACAGAGCATCCAGTGACAACTAACAAAGCATCCAGTGACAACTACCAGAGCATGCAATGACAACTACCACAACATCTAGTGACAACTAACAGAGCATCCCATGACAACTAGCACAGCATCTAGTGACAACTACCACAGCATGTAGTGACAACGGACAGAGCATCTAATGACAACTAGCATAGCATCCAGTGACAACTAACAGAGCATCTGGTGACAACTAACAGAGCATCCAGTGGCAACTAATATATCATCCAGTGACAAGTAACAGATCATCCAGTGACAAGTAACAGATCATCCAGTGACAACGAGCACAACATCTAGTGACAACTACCAGAGCATGCAATGACAACTAGCACAGCATCCGGTGACAACTATCACAGCATGTAGTGATAAGGGACAGAGCATCCAGTGACAACTAGCATGGCATCCAGTGACAAGTAACAGATCATCCGGTGACAACTAGTACAGCATCCAGTGACAACTACCAGAGCATGCAATGACAACTATGTAGACTGCTAGTAACAATTATAATAGTCATTGACAAGTATAAAAGCTGTAAATAACTACTCACAGTTTGTGTTGCCATGAATTGCTTGGGGTCGAACTGCCCTTTATTTGTCCTCTTTTTCTTCTTCTTTGCATCATGTTGTTGCTCACCCCCTTCTTCTTTGCTTCTTCTTCCTCGGCTTGTAATCTCATGAATGTGATACTATCAACCAACAAGTTAAGGGCATGGAAGGTCATGGTCTTTGTCTAAAAAACATAACAAAACCAATTATCTTCAAATAAAGTAGGACCAAAAATGAAATCGCAATCCCCGATATTGTATCCATTATATTCAGGTAATATTTCTCTTTCATGGTCCTCCCATTTCCACCTTAAAGGATTCGCCACCATTTTCTGCATGAAATCTGCAGAAAATATATGGCGGTTGACTCGCCCATCTTTTTCCTTTTGATCTCCAACGAATGTCTTCCCCACCATAGTCATAAACTGAAATTGCAAATACAAAAAAATTACAACTCTTTAGCATGCAATAACTCATTCTGATATTAACTATCTACGTGTGACTCATCCTGTCGTTTATCTATCTTCTACGTTGGAGACATTGCAACTCACCACGGGTTAGGAAGTATCCATACATCGATACAAAGTATCTAACACAAATGAAACAATTATAAAGTTAGTAAATTCAGTAAATTCTGTAACATAATACAAAATTGGTCACCAAAACATAATACTTACTGCTCTTGCTCCTCTTGATTACACCTTACTATACACATGTCAAATAAAGCTTGCCTGTCATCAATTGTTCTCTTTTTCCCAGCCTTGCTTTTAAATTCCAGAAATGGAGACCTAAGAGCTTTCCCCTTACTTATCACCCTTGTTGATTTCCTCATATGTTCGTTCCCTTCCCCTTGGGTGGCCTCATCCACTTCTTTATCCTCTTCATCCTCTTCTTCTCTTTTATTTTCTTCTTCATCTTTGTTGTCCTCATTTCCCTTCTCTTTTTCCTCTTCATCTTCTTTTTCTTCGTTATGTGATTCTTGTCCACCCATCTCCTTTTCTGACTGAGTTTCTTGCTCTTCTTCTTCATTTCTATCATCTTGTGATTCAGATTCTTCTTCTTCATTTCTATCATCTTCTTCCTCATCCTCTGAATCACTTCCTTTCTCAACTTTTTCCTCTTTTGCTTTAGATTCTTCTTCCTCATCTTTGTCCTCTTCACTTACATTACCACTACCCTCCCTTAGTCTTGATTGAAGGGCCATCATTTCCTCCCCCAGCATAGACACTAATCGAGTATATGTCTTTTTGATCTCCTATACAAATAAAATTCAAAACAGTAAGCAAAAGTAGAAAAACAAAAACAAAAAAAACAAAAAATTAATCATTAAGCCTACAAGTCCACATACCGGGTGAGTTAAATTTTCAGAATCAAATTTGGTGGATGCAAGAGTCCTCGATTGCTTTCCTTCTCCTCTTTAACTCTTTGTTGCACTTTCTTTTCATCCCAATTTGCAACAGCATGCTTTACATGTGTAGTTTTTGTTTCTCCCAGTGAAAAATTTTGTAGACAATATAACTGCAAGTGACATGAATGATAAGTTAACAGCAGCCATTGACAACATTCTGACCATCAAATGACAACAGAAACATACAAATTATTATAGCACTTACGATTAGGAAGTATAGACAACCTGACACATTCTTCTTCTTCTTAGTCAACTTGCCTTTTTCTAATTGTTTCTTGTACACTCCAATCCCCTTATATAGTTCATACAACACATAAGAGGACCAATCAAACTTATCCAATCTATCCGTTGTTGATAGTATTACCTTCAACAAATAATCACCGACACAAATACTTGCATTAGGACATAACAACGTTCCCAATGCATACATGACAAACAGTACCTTAAAATTTTCATCTTGGTTCTCAGTCAACAATGATGCTATCTTCTTGTATGGCATATTGCCATACATAATCCTCCACTGCTTGAACACTTCATCTTCATTATTCACAACTACTTTAATCTCTTCTCCGTTAAATGGTAGCTCCAAAAATTCATGCACATCTTTTGCCCTCATTTCCCTTCTCTTCCCTCTTATTGAAATGTTTTTTGATGCAAGATCAAATGCAGATATAAACTCTCCACACAATTCTCTTTGAATTGTGTGGCAACATACTTCCACTAGCTTGTCAAAACCTATCTTCTTTAGCCTGTCCATTAGATCCATCCTTTCTTTGATTATCTTGTAAACTATATACTTCTTGGACTTTGTGGGAGCTCTTTGTTCCTTAGCTCTTTTACAATACTCCTCTTTTTGCTGTTCAGATAATTTGTCCCAAGCATTTCTCACATGTTCATTCCTAGATTCAAGTTATTTGTATTTCCTTGAGCTTTTCTTATGGAATTCCTCTATGAATAAGGCATACCCAGAAAAATGACAGCTTCTTTGTTGTGCACTTTTGTTGGTTCCATCCTTCCTCATCTACTTAACCTGCAAAACAAGACCAATGCATTGAACTTCAATTCTTTTTGAATTTCTAGTAAACTTTTTAGAGATGCAGAGCTTCCTAGATATAGAAAAGAAAATTGATTTAAAAGCACTATGAAATAAAAAAAAAATTCTAACACTGATTTGATGATGTGGCATGATAACAAATGATGAATCAAATTAAAGGTGATGGATCAAACAGCACTAAATCCATTTCTATAAATAAAACCATCAATCATGCCAAATTATTTCTTTCAAGAGGCTATGTTCAAAGATATCATCAAATAAAAATGAAGCAATTATTTTCCTAGTTTCTTGTTTTAAATCATATACAAACTACATAAAAGCCTTGATGCACTAACACCAAACATTCATATTCTTCTTTTTTGGAGGAGGAATAATGCCATAATTTAAATCAAAATTCCTTCGTTTCCTTTTGATTTGACAAAAGCTTCATGCATGGCAATATTAACATTTCATGTTGTATAAGCTTAAGTCTCTACATGATCCTACTCTTATTCACGAAGCATTAAGGACAAGAGGGTTAAAGGATGACACAACTTGCATAGTCATTGACATAATTCTTCCTGAAAATGCAATGCCACTGCCACCTCCCCCAAAAAAGAAGAACAAGTTGAGGGCTCTGCTTTTCAGGAAGAAGTCTCGTGATGCTGCTGGTAACCTATCAAAGAAGCTTTCGGCTATAAATATAGTGGAGGAACTGTTCGAAGAAGGATCAGCTATGCTTGCTGAAAGGTAATGTCTTCCTTTTTTCAACACTATCAATTCACTAATTAAATGGTATACAAATTTATTGTGTCTGTGCCCTGCATATTGATTGTTGTTGTTCAAAGTGGAGGGTAATATTTGTTTAATACAAGGATCTAAAAACACAGACATAAAGGCGGGTAGGTGAATCATGGCTGGCTTTTCCCTGGTATTTCATCATGGAAGCTAATGCATGTGCCCTGTAATTTGTATCTTAAGGTTACCAAACAACAAAGTTCCACATACGAAGCCATCAAAAACCAAACATATTTTTCTTACTAAAGGGATTCCAAATTACTTTTAAAGTTTTGTCTTACTATTGTCACAAAGGTTCAAATAATCAGTTATCCAATTTGAAGTAATTCTCTTTTTCAATCATTATGGCTCCTGAAAGTTTGAACATTGCCGAACAGAGCTATAATGACAAACAATGACCAAATACCAAACTCAAACACAAAAATCGAGTTCTTCACTGCTTACCGTGACAAGAAATATGAGTCCACTGTAGTTTGAACAATGATGAATAGAGCTATAATGATGAGCTTCACTGCAATGATTCCGACCTCCGACGACGATGCTTTCAGAGACAACCAGAGCTATAACTACTTCGACGATGCTTTCAGATTTCGGTTTCGGTCTTCACTGCAATGATTCTGACCTCCGACGACGAGGATGATTTCAACGATAGCGCACAGTCACCACCCACCACAAGAGAAGAGGCTTTGACCAGAAATCAGAAGAAAATGGAGAAGGAACATGGCTGAAATGCAGAGATATTGAAATAGAACAAGGTACGATTAAAATGGCAATAGAGCTTGGATGAGAGTATGGAGGGTGAGAGCGTGATTTTGAAGTGAAATAGAATAGGGCTTCACACGCGAAGAGGCTTTCAACCAGACATTAGTTTTTTGAATCGCAACAGGGAAGGTTTCAACATTTCGTGCGATTGCTACCCGGGGCAATAAGGTCTTTTCAAATTTCATTAAATTGCACTGAGGTCCCTTTGGGACTTCACAAAAATTATGAGATTTCAGGGGACTTATTTGATGTATTTTGTTCTCCATGGGACCTTAATGTCATTCTCCCTATATTTTAATTTGAAGGAATAAAATTGTTAATAATATATTTTTTACCAACATAATTAATAATATATAAGATAATGTATTTAATAAAAAATTAAGATGTGTATATGTATTTATAAAATGTAAGATTAAATATGTTAATAGAAAAATAATTGAGGGATGTTAAAGTCATATTACCGTTGGGATCTACTCTGACAGGCACAATCATACTCTCTAATTTGAATTAGAAGTTGAATGGATTCACTTCTTCTGAAAACCATGGTCTATTGATTTTTGCCCCTATTTGCCATATATTTGACCCTAACCATGGTTTGAGTCATTTGCCAAACATGCCCTAAGAAGCCAATGTAAGACGTCAGCTCAAAACTTAGTGGGAGCATAACAGAAATAACTAGCAAAGGGGAAAAAAACGTTAATGAAGGACTTAGATGATCTATTATTTGGTTTCTATAAAGGAATTGACCTGAGAATAAAAACAAGCTACAAAAAAAGATTACACTCCACTGGTCCTTAATATAGGATCTAACTATTGAGTTGATATTAGTTTTAAATATAAAATTTATGTTTCATAATTATTATTTTTTTCTAAATTACCTATATTAATACTCTTTTAACTATAATCAAATAGGAGAAAAAAAGATATTAAGAAAATTTATTATGATGTTTTAAAAAAAACATTTACTCCTCCGGTCCTAAATGTAGGACCTATTTTGTAGTACAATTTATACTACAAAATGAATCCTATATTTAGGACCGGAAGGAGTAATAATTTTTATAATTGTCGCAGATACTATGGCAAAGGAAGCTCTCGGCGGGATGCAAGGGATGAACTGCTTCTCTTCACCTTCTCTGGGTATGTTGGATAGCTTGAGGAATGACGCATTGAACTGCCACATTATGTGAGCAGCTAGTGTTGTTGATCCATAAAAAAAAAAAAAAAAACTAACTTATTTTTTTTAATCCAATCAAATTAATTAAATAAGTCTTGCATTAAAAATTGATACAAAATTTTTAAGTAGTAGCGCCTGTCCAAAAACAAGCATTACAAAAGACCACATTGACAGTTTACATTTTCAATTTATTTACGTGTAATTATTGGCCGTATTTATTAGTGCACCCTTAGAAGCATTAAGTGTGTTAAGCAATGAAAACATGTCTCACTTGATGGAAATAATTCTTAAGCTTTAAGCTTTTAAGCACATATCCATAATTAAAAAAAATCATGACTATAGTTAAAATTTAAAAATATTTGCTCTGATATGGTTTGAAAAGTGTCTACTAGATTTTAAGATAGCTATTTTGAATTATATTTTTTTCCAAAAAGTTGATACTGATATTTCTAACTATAATCTTAAATTAAATTATTCCGTGTTTATAAGAAAGTAATTTACACCTAAAAATTTAAATTTATTTTTATCTTTTTAATATCAAATTGTAGGACGAATGGAATGAATATTCCAGTGCTTTTTCGGCAAAAAAAATAAATAAATATCCCAAGTGCTTTTTTTTTTGCCAAACTGTTTCAAACGCATAGATATTAACTTGGTGGGATGTTCACCTTCAATTTTTCAGAGTTCTTTTTTAGTAGAATTGCAGAAAGAGTTCATTTTATCAAGAAAAATTTGGTAAAAGGTACTTGTTTAAAAATTTTGTCGGTCAACAAGGCCTAAACTTGACGAGTCCAACTATTTTTCCTGGGTGTAACTTTTTTTTTTTCCAGCTCTGTGCGGCTTATCTTTAATTATGTGCAATAATTATTAAAACAAAAGTCATTTATACATTGTTGAAAATATGTTACACATAATTTTAAAAAAAAAGTTACACGTGTTGAAGATAGTTACATCGATTCAAATTTAGATTTTTTTAGTCAATATAATTTTCAACCAGATACTTTTTACTAATTTTCCCTTTTATTTTATTAATCACCAAAATAGATATTACATCACTCATTAACTATTTTCAGAGTCCTTGTCAAAAGAAAACAAAGACATGGTTTACAAAGATAATTGAATATGTTAGTTAAAAAAAAAATCAAGAAGACATGGTTTTATATTTAATTCTTACAAATATTAAAAAAAAATCATTGAAATGATTTTATAGCCATAAAGTTTTGCCTAAGTTAATTTCAAAATCCATCTAGATGTTTGTGAATTATTCTTTTTCTTGGACTTTGGGGATCAAAATCCTAAGACTGAAAATAAATAAAAAAATAGAAGAGACTTGGTCTATTCAATTTGATATTATGTAATTAATATCCGTTGGTTCAGATAGCTATGGCTATTGCCTACTAACTTGGTAGTGCATTATTAATTAACCAGTTATTCCCTCAAATCCTTAATTATAAGAACTTCTTAAATAGATAGATTAAAAAATTAAATAAATTAGTTATTATAATAAATACGATATGATCTCTCTAGAATATTTTGGTATAATATTAAATTATATATCAGTTTGTAAATTAGACAAATTAATTTAATAAAAAATAATAAATATGAAAAACATAATAAATTGAGGTCAATAAATTTAATTTTCACCCAACCAGTTTCATTGTGTTAGAAATCGGAGGCGGGAGGGCGGTTTTTGCCGTTTGCCGACGTTGAAATGGACAACTTCCTTGACTACCTGGAGAATTTTCCCACTAGAGGATATTATTGTGTGTGTATATAAAAGTTAATGAGATTGTAATTAGGAAGAATCCTTATAGATCTAATGGTAGTCTTGTGTATACATGAGTGATTGATTTGTCAATAACAGTCAATCACAGAATCTACGATCCAAAAAAAAAAGTCATGCGAAGTTATGTTATTATGGAGTCTTTTTGTTGGCAAAGAAAAGATTATGGATTTTTTTGTACCATAAATCTTAGAACTTGAGATCTAGTTTTTAAAATTTTGCTATCAAGCATTATTGTTGAAATATCACACTTTTTTTTTTTAAGCATTGAAATGGCACACTCTATTAGTAATATAAGCTGGCATTATGTTCATGCAAGTTCAAGTTCAAGTTCATAGTAGAAGTTTACTGTTAAGTGCAAAGAAATTATTTATAGACCTGACTTAAGAATTTTGCAGGATTTTTGTATTCTTTTTCCCTTTAACAATAACTATATTTTTATTTCCTTTTTATTGATTTTTCTAAAAAAAATATTTTATATTTACTCTATCCATTTAGAATTATAATATACTTTTAATTAATCTGCACCCTTTAATAAGTTAGTTAATGATTTTTAAAATTACGTATTTTTTTCATATTTATCCCCATTTAATAGTGTCTTAATTAGAAAAATTATATTAATTACATTCCTAATTAAAAATGTTTTTTTTTTAAATATCTTATTAATTACAACTTAAAAGACAAAAAATGTTTAGTAATTTTAAACATGATATTTCAAAAAACACTTTATATTACTTCTAGTTCTTAATATAAGAGCTAGTTAACTAATTTGAGTTGATTAAAGAAATTTTTTAAATTAATTATTTGTAATAAACAGGTGTTATCTTCCCTAGGATACTCTTGTTATATGTGTATTAGTTAGAACTACTATTTGATGAAATATTAATATGTTCAACTATTACAAAAACTATTTTTAAAAAAATGGATAAATATTATAGATAAAATATATTTAAATTTTATATTTAGGATCAAATTATAAACTAACAATTATATTATATTTACGAGCGGACGTAGTAATTTTGAAAGAGGGAAAAAGTTCTGTTTTTGAAAAAAAAATTACAAGCCTGTTTGTTTTTGTTCTTTGTTTTGTTGTTCTTAAAACAATTTTATAAAATTATTTTTTAGAATAATTTTTGAAAACAAAAAACAAAAGAATTTGTTTGGATAATAATTTTAAAAAATAATGTTTGAAAAAAACCGTAGGAAACCACATTTGATACGTGATAGTTGTCACTCGTAATAATAAGTGGTGGATAGTAAATGAGAAAAGAAGAAGATTTCTCAAAACTTTTCAAAACAAAAAATAAAAAACACAAAAACAAGAACAAAAAAACATATAAAACTTGTTTCGGTTTTTTAATTTTTAAAAACATGTTACTGTTTTTTATTTTTTAAAACAATCAACTAAAAACAAATTAAAAACAAAAAATTGTTTCTAAAACAAGAAACAAGATTACATCTTCCTTATCTTTTTAATCCTCCCAACGGCCTGTCAGTTAATTAGTTAATTCTTCGGCCAAAAAAAAAAAAAGTTAATTCTTCTCCCACTAACCCTACTAGTTAATTTGTGGGATTCGATTTTCTTTTCACGGTGCTTTCCTTGGAAGAATGGAAAACTCAGTCAGAAATTCTATTGCATCTCATGCAATTTATCCAAAATCTGAACTTTTATGTAGCGAGAACGTTGAATTCAATCTTCAACAAATGGGAAATATCGGCGTCAGCAAGCGTATGGAATATAAGCGGTGAACTATGCAGCGGACGAGCTATTGACAACACTACCGCGGTCGAAGACTTCAATCCATTTATCAAATGCGACTGTTCCAATGGCACTTGCCACATTACTGCACTGTATAATATCTGTCTTCTCTCAACTTGATTTATTGATATTGTTTTGTTATATGTATTGTTGATCTTGATCTTGCACTTTTCCCGCTTGTTTCTGGCAGGAGGGTTTATGCATTGGATGTTGTTGGGGAAATCCCAGAAGAGCTATGGACTCTGACTCACCTCACCAATTTGTATGCTTTTTAACTCCTTAAATTTCCAAGCTGGGTGATACATGTTATTTTACAGTATTTCATATTCTGCTGATTATTACTATGACAGAATCTCTAGTAAAGGGTATATCCGTAAAATGGTTATAGAGTTAGTTACGAAGAGAGAGAGAGTGAGTGGGCGCTACGTGCGTGGTAGGAAGTATATGGATTGTATGATGGTCACTCTTACGTTTTGTTGAATGAATTCTGGTTTTTCTCTCTTCTACTCATATCAAAGGTATCAGAGCCTTCTCTCCGGTAATGGCTCCGGAGACGCGATCTAATGGGCGCTTAGGTGAACTGGAGCATCAGCTGGAGCTTCAGCAAGCCGCGATGGCGTCGGTAAATGGCCGTTTGGATCAGCAGGGCCAGGATATTGCTTCCCTGAAAACGTCTGCTGCAAGATTTGAAGACTACTTTAAGGACCTGGTTGCGAAGGTCTCGGCTCTGTCAACTGAGCATGGGAAGCGCGCAGAAGATGGTTCCTCTTCTTTAACTCCTCCTCGCTTCCCCGCCTTCGGGTCTTTTGCAAAAGCTTCCCATTCCTCTCCTACTTATTCCGTTCCAACGAAACAGAGTCGTGTGGAATTTCCCAGATTCGACGGCTCCGATTTCCGTGGGTGGGCCTATCGTGTTCGACAATTTTTTGAAGTTGACGGTACTCCACCGGATCAACGCATCCGTATACTGAGTATCCACCTGGAGGGTCATGCCCTTCGCTGGCATCAGACTTTTATCCGTCACCGGGCATTCTCGGAGGTTAGCTGGTCCGAATACTTCCATCAAATGGAGCTGAAGTTCGCTGATGTCAGAGAGGAGAGTCCTACAATTGGCCTTAAGAAACTACAGCAACTCGACGGTACTGTTCTCGAATACGAGCAGAAGTTTGATGAACTGCTCTCTGAGATCGACATTCCAGAGGAGGTTGCGATAAGTTTATTTGTTGGTGGCCTGCGTCCAGACATCCAGAAATGTGTTCTTAATTTCCAACCTACATCTCTTTCGAGCACGATGAGCTGTGCCCGGCGACAAGAAGGGACGATCCGAGCTTTACATGAAAATGCTCCGTCGGCAGCTGTGTGGGGTCGAAGGACGGCTCCGTCATCATCCAGGGGGCCAGGAGATTTCGTTGGGCCTCGAGCATCTGCTCCTTTGGGTTTTAACATGAGCCCAATGTCAAATTCGTCCTCCTTCTCAAAGCCCAAATCGCCCGAGTCGCTGTCCGTGCCCAAGAACTCAGCTCCCTCATTTGCAGCATCATCACCGTCGACCTCTGGGTCTCCCAAACCTTCTCGGCAATTATCAAAAAAAGAGATGGATGAGAGGAGACGTAAAGGATTGTGCTATTGGTGCCCGGAGAAGTACTCTAGCAGCCATAGATGCAAAGAGTCGCATCTTTTTATGCTGGTAGTAGATGACGATGAAGAACATTTCGAAGATGCTTTGGAGGACCCTCCTTCGGATTCTGTAGGGACTATTAACGCCATTGAAGGGAAAGAAGGAGCATCCACCTTGAAGCTCTTGGGCCGAATTAAGAACCAACAGGTTGTTATACTGGTGGATACCGGCAGCACACATAACGTGCTAGACACATCCATTGCTAAGCGTCTCCAGCTGAAACCTCAAGAACGAAGTGATGTCTTCCTCACAGTAGCCGATAATCGCCAGGTAACGGTTAATAAGTGTTGTTCGAACCTGGAATGGGAAATGGGCAATCATACATTCTCGACTGATTTCCTAGTTATGAAAATAGGAAGCTATGACATGATTTTGGGCACTCAGTGGCTGCGTACCATTGGGAAATTTTCTATGGATATGGAAGCCAAGCTTTTTGAATTCAAGATTGATGGGGCATTACTTGAGTTGCATGGGATTGGGTATAGAGAACTTCCGAAAACTGAAGAGATTAATTCTGTACGTGATCTGGTAGTTGCAGCACATGTTTTCTTAATCCAGGATTCAACTCACCTACACTTGGGTCTCAAGATTCCTTCCCCTCTGTCTGAATGCCAGCAACGTGAGTTGAAGCATCTCTTAGAGACTTTTACAGATGTGTTTGATGAACCCAAAGGCCTGCCTCCTTCCCGCCAATTTGATCACTCTATTCACCTTCATCATGACAAACCTATAAGTTGTAGACCCTACAGATACGGCCCTGCTCAAAAGTCTGAAATTGAAAGACAAGTCCAGGAAATGCTGTCGTCTGGGATTATAAGGGAAAGCTCTAGTTCTTTTGCTGCACCGGTTGTCTTGGTTCAAAAGAAGGAAGGAACGTGGCGCTTCTGTGTTGATTACCGAAGGTTGAACGAGGCCACCATCAAGAACAAATTCCCTATTCCTGTAATTGAAGAATTGCTGAAAGAATTAACTGGAGCTACTTATTTTTCGAAGCTGGATTTGAGGGCAGGGTACCATCAAATTCGAATGAGGGTAGATGACGTTCATAAAACAGCTTTCAAGACACATGAGGGGCTTTATGAGTTTCTGGTTATGCCTTTTGGGCTGACAAATGCCCCAGCCACCTTCCAAGGTCTTATGAATTCAGTTTTCAAAGCATTTTTGAGGAAATTCATCTTAGTTTTCTTTGATGACATACTGGTCTACAGTAGAGATTGGAGCTCTCATCTTAAACACCTAGAGATTGTTTTATCAACCTTGCGACAGCATCAACTATACGCCAAGTCCTCCAAATGTATTTTTGCTGCCACTCAAATCGATTATTTGGGACATATTATCTCTGTAAATGGGGTCCAAGCAGATCCTAAAAAACTAGATGCTATTAACTCATGGCCCATACCAACTACCTTGAAGGAGTTGAGAGGATTCCTGGGCCTTACGGGCTATTATAGAAGGTTTATAAGGCATTATGGCCTTATCAGTCAGCCTTTGACAAAGCTACTTAAGAAGAATACACCCTTTCGTTGGTCATCTGCTGCTCAGGATGCCTTTAGTAAGCTAAAGCAGATTATGACATCACCACCGGTCTTAATCCTTCCTAATTTTGATGACACCTTTGTGGTCGAGACTGATGCTTCTGGCCGTGGATTGGGAGCTGTACTATCTCAGAAGGGGCACCCTGTAGCTTTTGCTAGCAAAGCATTGGCCCCTAACAAGAAGCCCTTATCAGCATATGAAAGGGAATTACTTGCCATCATTTTTGCTGTTAAGCAGTGGCGTTCTTACCTCTGTGGTCGTAAATTTATCATTAAAACTGACCATTTGCCCCTCAAACATCTTCTGGAACAACAGAACTTGAACCCGGACCAGTTTAAATGGCTCCATAAGTTATGGGGTTTACATTACGAGATCGTATATAGGAAGGGTAGTGACAACACAGCAGCAGATGCACTATCTCGGAAGGATGAAGGAGGCTGTTTTGCAATCACAATTCCGGTTTCCCCTCTTTATGACCGAGTGCGGGACTCGTGGTTACTTGATGACCAGCTTCAACAGTTAATTAAGGATCTGGAGCAGGACTCTTTGTCTCATTCTAAATATACTTGGCAGCACCAGTTATTAAAGCGCAATGGGAAACTCGTAGTGGGGGCTGATAAAGGACTTCGCCAGGATTTACTCCATTATTTCCATGCTACCGGAATTGGGGGTCATTCAGGTATACATGCTACCTTTAAACGTCTCTCTTCTTTTTTCTACTGGAAGGGCATGGAAAGGGATGTTAGGAACTATGTACGGGAATGCACTATCTGCCAAAGGTTCAAACCTGAGTTGGTGGCTTCACCAGGATTAATCCAACCCTTGCCTATACCGGAGCATGTTTGGACAGAATTATCTATGGATTTCATTAGCGGGCTGCCCAATTCCTACTCTAAGACTACCATCCTCGTGGTAGTGGATCGATTGTCTAAAGCTGCCCATTTTTTTCCACTAAAGCATCCTTTCACAGCAGTACAGGTCGCCCAATTGTTCCTGGACAATGTGGTTAAGTTGCATGGCTTCCCTAAATCCATAGTGACAGATCGGGATCCAGTCTTCTGTGGGAAGTTCTGGAAGGAATTATTCCGTCTCTATGGGGTCAACCTACAATACTCTTCTGCATATCATCCACAAACGGATGGACAAACAGAAGTTCTCAATCGCTGCTTGGAGTGTTACCTTCGTTGCATGACCGGTGATTTCCCTAAACAATGGGTCAAGTGGTTGCCTCTTGCTGAACTCTGGTACAATACGACCTATCATTCTTCTATTGGCATGACCCCTTTTGAAGCTGTATATGGGGTTCCTCCTCCGGTTCATTTACCTTACATAGCAGGAGATTCTCCTAATGATATGGTTGATCGGACTTGTCTTGCAAGGGAGTTGGTGCTGCAAATTCTCAAACAGCACTTGTTGAAGGCTCAACATAGAATGATTCAACAAGCAAATAAACATCGAACTGAACGACACTTTGAGGTTGGTGACATGGTTTACCTCAAGCTCCACCCATTTAGGAGGAATTTAATCAATAACTCCTCACTGCATAAGCTGGCTGCTAGATATTTTGGGCCCTTCACGGTCATAAAAAAGGTGGGGCCTGTTGCTTATGAATTGCAGTTACCCCCTCACACAAGGGTGCATCCAGTTTTCCATGTTTCTCTTCTTAAGAAACACGCCGGCTCTCTTACACCAGTGACTACCACTCTGCCTCCCATTGATGATCAGGGCCATTTTATGTTGGAACCAGAAGAAATCTTGGGCCGGAAAATTGTCAAGCGACATGATCTGCCAGTAACACAAATACTGGTCCGTTGGAAGTTTGCTAATGCTGAGGATGCGACTTGGGAAGACCTTTCAGCAATTCAACAGCAATTTCCTCACTTTCCGACGGTGGCTCCTCCAACCAATACCATCCTTGTGGACAAGGATCCTTTTTAGGGGGGGAGTATTGATACATGTTATTTTACAGTATTTCATATTCTGCTGATTATTACTATGACAGAATCTCTAGTAAAGGGTATATCCGTAAAATGGTTATAGAGTTAGTTACGAAGAGAGAGAGAGTGAGTGGGCGCTACGTGCGTGGTAGGAAGTATATGGATTGTATGATGGTCACTCTTACGTTTTGTTGAATGAATTCTGGTTTTTCTCTCTTCTACTCATATCACTGGGTTTTACTAAAATTTCTTGCAAAACATCCTCGAAAGAGTTCTTATTTATTTATTTTTTAAATGAATGGAATTTTTTTCTTTTTAATTTTTTTGGCTTTCATAAAGTTTCCTCTAATTGCAATCAGGAACCTCAGTCAGAATTATTTGACGGGTTCTCTACCTCCAGCCATTGGAAATCTCACTCGTATGCAGTACATGTAAGGCTGACTAGATAGCGGTTGTAAATCCTTCTTGTACCTAAGGATCCTCTCAATTTCTTATGGGAAAAAGATGGTCATTGCGAGCAAATTGATACTGTTCAGTTGATTTGGATAGTTCAAATATGTTAACATCAGTTTTGTGTATTTCAAATGGCAAAAGATAAGTTTCACACTGTTCAGGTTGATATGATGGTAGAGTTTATTCGAAATGACTAATTTTTTTTCCCATCTTATTAGAGAGAATTTGGATTTGCTTATTATGCCTTGTGCTCACTACTCATGGACTCACTTTATTGTAAATTTATCCTAATTAGGACCTTAGGCATCAACTCCTTATCAGGGGAGCTTCCCAAGGAATTGGGAAATCTTACTGAGTTAATTGTATTGTAAGTCATCTACTTCCCCTTGAAGCAATTTCTTTCTTCCTTCTTTTTTGCTCTGTCCTTTCATTTTGTTTCTCTGTTTTTGCGGGTGATTTAACTGGCAATTTTGATATTTTTACTTTTCCATGTACCCAAGTTATATCACATTATTCAAAAGTGATATTTCGTTTCTTTTCTTTTTTGTTTTCAATGGGCTTTTTTAATATCTGGAATTGATAATGAAGGATGCTGAATAATTATGTAGCTTAATTAAAGACCATTTTGTTTTATTAGAATTATGATTCCATGAGACATATATCATGATGATACTATCCATCCACTTAATTATTTGTTAATTCTGCAGGGGTCTTGGATCAAACAACTTCTCTGGGTCTATCCCCTCTGAACTAGGGAAACTCGTGAAATTGGAACAACTGTAAGCTCCAGTGCACTCTGCGTCTGTAGGTTTTGTTATGATCAAATTGAAAGAGTCCCGCATTGGAAGCATGAGATTCTGTTTCTAATGACGGGCTTATGAAAAATATATTCTCTCAACTCCATGAATATTAATCTTTCAGATGACATGTATACGTTTAATTTATGTTTGATTATCATATAGAAGATATCTAACAGCATGCTGTCTAGTAATTTGTTGGCAATTTTCGGGAAATAGTTATGATCAAAGAATTAATGTCTGAGACTTGTAGGTTATAGTAACACTTATGGACATGAACAACTTGCATTATATTTTGCTTCTCAAATATGTGTTTGTCATATTATTTTTAATTAATAAAAAATAATGAATCATTTCTTCCTATGTTTGGAATTTATATACTGCATTTCAAATATATTTGATGGTAGCATTGGCAATTTATTTTCGCAACATTCCTGACATTCCTCTTTCATTTCAATGTAGTGAGGCTCCTTATATGCCAAAAAAGTTACAATTATTCACTTTGTTTTGGAATCTGGATTATGTTAGTTTATTGATTTTTGTGTGATCAGCAGATGATATCAATTTCAATAAAAATTTCTATGCAGTTATTTAGATAGTTCGGGACTTAGTGGCCAGATTCCTCCTACTTTTGCTAGTCTTAAAAACCCGGCGACAGTGTAAGAGTTTGTTACTTTTTCTTGTCTGTTACATGATAATTATAATATTAAAAATGAAATAACTTTGAAAGTTTTCCTGGTTGTCCAGATGGGCTTCAGACATGGAACTCACGGGCAGGATACCAGACTTCATAGGAAGTTGGTCTAAGCTTATAGTCTTGTAAGACAATATTGTCAATACTGTTTTCTTTTTCCTTGAAATTAGGACGTTGGATCTCTTAGACATTTTAAAGTGGTATGCGTAATTTTGAATAGAGTGTTTGATGTTTAATGAGCATTGATTTTATCCAGCTACTCTGCATGAAGTCCTTTAACTCTGTGCGTCATTTCAAGGAATGTAATGACTTTGGTTAGAATGAAACTTGAGAAGCATTAATTAGAAGTATCTACTGTCTCATCATCAGAGATAATTAGTTTACAGCCTCCTTATGATCAATTTCAGGCTTCTCCCCTAGTGGGTTTACAAAGGGGTTGGAAAGCACTTATGAGCTAACAAGTCTTTAGTTAAAATATGGTTTTGCTACGACTATTTGTGCTAATGGATTGATTTTTTTTTCTCATCACTAAATTCCTTTCCTATTTATAAAATGTAGTTAAATCTTTCCTTATAAAAACTTGTGTGCAAAAAAATTCTTTCAGATATGAAATATAAATACTTGTTTTGTTACTTGGTATTTTCTGTTCCAAAAGTTTGTGCTCACTGAGTAGAATTTCTGTACTTTTTGATAGGAGGTTCCAGGGGAATTCTTTTGAAGGTCCAATACCATCATCATTTAGCAATCTGACTTCTCTTACAGAGTTGTAAGTGTCATCACTACTTACTTGTATGCATTTTTGCGGATTGATAAGAACTAAGCATAATTCTAATGCAGGAGAATAAGTGAAATATCTAATGGGAGCTCATCACTGGCATTTATAAGGAATATGAAATCTTTGACTGTCTTGTAAGTTGGAAGGCAATGACTTCCCTCATAATTCATAGCCTTCCTGATACATCGATATATTTCCTTTTATTTATTTTTTTCCTAGAATGTAGCATGACAACTTGGTTAACAATCTTGCAGAGTTCTGAGAAATAACAATATTTCTGATCCAATTCCATCAAATATCGGTGAATTTCTAAATTTGACCCAGCTGTGAGTATTCCCTATTCATGTAGTTCTTCAGATAAGCATAAACTATCCAGATATCTTAATTTGTGTTGGATATATAGGCCAATCAATACTAGCCATTAGTCCTTTTGTCCTAGAAATCAGAGGTGGAAGTTCGGGGGATCTAGTCAACCTATTACTTGATTTCTTAGTTTCTTAGTCATGTTGCCCTTTTATGAAAATTTATTTCTCGTAATGCTCTTGTTTTATGGGATTCTAGTAGCTGGTATGTAGCCATGGTCTCAAATAGTGGCCTATGGCAATGATGTAATGAAAAGAACAAAAGCACAGACTGCGATTGTTCTTCAACTTGCTTCCCAGGAAAAAGCAAATCAGACAATGGTTTCCATTGGATATCTCCAACCTGAATAAATACCTTAGTTTTTGTATAGTAGTTATACTGCTTAACTATAGGGCAACCCTTAGTGCTAATTCGTTCAAATTGAAATGTTCATCAAGCTGAGTGATTTGTCATTAGAACTCAATGTGTGTGCTACTGGCAACTGGATCTGAAATGACTTGCTCGTTTACCAAGGATTCTTCACTAATTTTCTATAATCAATTCTCTTTTATTATTTTCCCTATTATGTGCTTTATGTGGCAGAAAACGGTTGGAGTCAACTAACCATCCATCTTATCTTTCATACTCATATTATTATTTCCAATGAGGAAAAAGATCAATGGTCTTCAGTTGTGTTTGTGTTCCACATCCGGATGATTATATAGCTGGTTCTTGCAGGGATCTGAGCTTCAATAACATCATAGGACAGGTTCCGGGATCACTTTTCAATCTGAGTTTGCTAACACACTTGTAATATATATGCTGTCCTAAGTAATTGAATTATGGATTTCCTGCATGCCTTCATGATTGGATTAAAGCATGATTTGTTTTTCACCAACTCAGGTTTCTGGGAAATAACAAACTCACTGGTGCAATCCCTACTCAGATAAGCCCAACTCTTCTCAATATGTGAGTATTCTTGACATATTTTATCTCTGTTTGTTGTTATGATTGATTATTTGATTGATTATTTGAGGTTGAATCATCTTCAGGCTTCTATGTACTCCTTTTATAATGTTTACAGAAATTTAACAGAAAGAATTGCTGAGTTCTGTGCTATATGAATTTTGAAGCTTCAGGTTAATGTTGTTGTTCGAATCATAAGGAGTATTTGTGTTTTATAAAATAGTGATCTGTATTTAGTACAAAATAGCTGTTTTAATAAATCTTATTGATCATCTAGTATGGAAATGGCTATATTTATAACTTTTTTTCCAAATTCATAATCATGTTAAATTTAAGATTAATTTCTGTAAAGGCGTTAAAATTAAAATTCCTCATCTAACAAGAGAACAAGTGGTTGATGGCAGTGATATGCTCAAACTTATAATTTATTAGCAGATTTTTAATAAGAAAGTGATTGTTCCGTTGATTATTAAATTCAACAGTCGTTGAAGACAAGTAAGCCTAAAATCAAATGTCTAGGTGGTAAATATGAGGTTGAAAGAACTGTAGATGATGAATCCTTTAGAAGAACTATAGGTGAGGGAACATTTGCAATAGAATGAAATAGGAATTATGAAATTCAATGGGAGAGATAGACTTTATATAATTTAAATAGATAAAAAGAATTTTAACAATCATGATCAATGTAAATCATCAATTGATATTAATATAAATTTATCAATATCATATATAAAAAGAAAACTTAAGTTGATGTTGTATATTTACAGGTATCATTCAATCATTCCAAATTTTTCAGTCAACTTGTTTTCACTAAAAAATCTCTTAAAAGGGTATTTAAATAACTCAAATTTTTATTTCAATTATTAAATTTATCAAACTCTTACTTAGGTCACATAATTTAAAAAGAGATTTTCAAATTGTATGAAATGACTTTAATGCTAGTTTCATTAGAAAATAAAACAAAATTTTAAATTAACACGTTTTTGTCTTGGGATTTCTTCTTAATTTTAAATTTGCTTCTGTTAGTCTTATCTCTATTATTTTCCACCTAGAAATCGACACCAATAAAGGAAAAGCGACTTGGGATCCCTACATGATGAAAATTCCAATAGATATTTGAGCCGAGCAAATAGTGCACAATGAACGCCAAGGAACATCATTTACAAGGCTCGGTTGAAGCAAAATTGAAAAGAATTTTCAGGAAAGAAGCAAGAAAATGTATGACAAGAAGCAACTTAAGAATAGATTTGACATTTTAAGAAAGGATTGGAAGTTGTAGGAAAAACTTATGTCTGGGGAGACTGGCATTGGTTATGATGCAGCGACAAATAGGGTGTTGGCCTCCGATGAGTAGTGGCAACGAAAATTAATGGTAACTATTTGCGTTGGTTGAGTTTTAATTTTGAATATCAGTTTAGTCATCGCTTACACTTGCCTAATTACGTTAATGTAGGTGAACCCCAATTGCAAGAAATTTAGACATTAGGGGTTGATGTTTGCATCAGATTTGATGAAAATATTCAAAGATGTTGTGGCTTCGGGAGAATATATGTACACACCATCAGCCTCACAGCCTCAGCCAGCATTTGCTCCACAGCCTGACACAGAAGAGGAGGGGGATGTTTATAGAGTCGGGCTCGACCAACAGGAAGGGTTGAGGGACAGTGAGGATGAAAATTTCGGTGTTGACCCAACAACCAATGCAGGGGTCACAGATGACTTCGCCGGTTGCAACTTAAACAACCCCGCGAGTACTGGACCAAGTGGCTCAGGAAGCTATGGAAAGAGGAAGAGGGGTGAGACGTCTAATGCAAAGACGAAGAAAAAAGTTGTTACGTCTATTAAAATTTCTGATAGCCTTAGTGTCATAGCAGCTGCTTCTGACAAGCGAGCAGCAACATTGGTTGAAGATCCCCAATTAGTTGACAAGGTTTTGGCACACCTAGCTAGCCTTGAGAAGCTTAATGATGACCCTCAACTATATTATGCATGTGCCAAGATACTTACACGGTTGAGGTGGGCTAGGCGAGCCTATTTGGGGTTTATGCATGATAGACACAAGTTGTTGGGGTGGTTGATACCGGCAGCACAAGACCCAGACACATGGAAGGGACTTGCAGATTAGGATTTAGTTTAGGACTTAGTTGTTTCACTGTTGTTATTGCACTTACTAACTTGAACTGATTACTGTTTTAACCTGAACTGATATGGCCTGTTGTAGGAACTTTATTAATGACTGTAATATATTTATGCTAATTTTTACTTGTCATCTATGTGTGTTGGTTTTTCTGTTTGCAGTATGAAAATTATTTACACTTTGTTTATTTTAGTCTTTATAATGCTTACACTTTGTTGTCATCACAGTTACAGGGTTAATTCCAAAAATGGCTAATTAGAATGATGATTCACCATGGAATGAAGATACTTTGTGGAATTGGAATGATGATTCACGGTGGAATGAAGATGACCATTCAACACGGTTATTCATGATTAATGATGAATTAACACAATATGAAGCAGTAGGTGCATTGGTTGTGAAATGTATATGTTTAAACAACCCTGCAGAACTAGTGAACAGACAGGAAACTTATGGGTACAAGGTATTATGGAGAGGCATTATGATCGATGTCAAGAAATGTTTAGAGTGGATAAATATGTTTTCCACCTCTTATGTACTAAATTGGAGGAATATGGTTTACGAAAGTCTAAGTACTTAGGAATTGAAGAAATGGTCGTGATGTTTTTAAACACGGTTGCACATAGACAACACAATAGGATGATCCAGGAATGATTTCAACATTCAGGGGAAACTGTAAGTAGGCACTTTCACAATATACTGCAAGCTTGCCTTAGCCTATCGAGTAAACTTATTCGACCCACATATCATACATTTCGTGGAACTCAGAAAAATTGAGAACGATCCACGTTATTATCTATTTTTTAAGGACGCAATTAGAGCAATTGATGGCACTCATATACAGTGTGTTGTCCCCACTACAAAACGAGACAAATTTATTGGCAGAAAGGGAAATCCATCACAAAATGTCATGGTTGTATGTGATTGGGATATGTGTTTCACTTTTGTCTTGGCAGGATGGGAGGGATCTGCACATGATGCTTGTATATTTGACAGTACTATTACAAATTCATCTCTTAATTTCCCTCATCCACGTCCAGGTATATGTTTATATATTCCAATCACACATGTTTTTTAATTATTTTATATTTTTATTCATTTCACAATCTCTCAAATTGTTTCATGAATCATTAGGGAAATATTACTTGGTTGATGCGGGATATCCAACACCAAATAGATATCTAGGTCCATACAGATCTGAGCGCTATCACCTTCTAGACTTCTGATGACAAGTAGGATTCCGAAATAGTAACGAAGCCTTCAATTATTATCATTTCAGTTTAAGATGCATAATAGAAAGAACATTCGGTGTTTGGAAGAATAGATTTCAAATCTTACGAAACATGCGTAGTTACGACTTCCAAACACAAGTATACGTGATTTGTGCAACAATGGCCATTCATAACCTTATAAGGAGACATTCAAGCTCCGACTTCTTTTTTGAACAAGCTAAAAATGGTAATATAGTTGGCAAACATGATCAGGCTGAAACTAGTCAACAATCATCTTCAAATGTTACATCACAGTCTTCATCGCATATGAATTGCGTTCGTGATGCAATCAAAAACCAAATTATCCATAGCTTATCAATTAATTAATTATGTAATATTATTTCGTTTCACTTTGTCGCAATATTGCAAATTGGAGTTCAAAACATTTTGATCCATTCAAATTATGTTTCGCTTTATATTTGCAATATTTTTTTCATTTCTCTAATGTTTTTAAATTTAATTCACTCAATCAATTTCATTTTTCATATTAAATTAATTTAAATTCATTTTATTATGTCAATTCATTTTTTTATCATGTTTCACTTTATATTTAAAATATTTTTTATGATTTCTACAAAGTTTTCAATTTTAATTCACTCTATAAATTTCACTTCTTCATTATATTATCTCAATTCTTTTTTTTTATCATCTTTCACTTTATATTTAAAATATTTTTTATTATTTCTCTGAAATTTTAAAATTTCATTCACTTATTAAATTTGACTTCTTCATATTAAATTATTTTAATTTCATTGGATTATGTGAAATCATTTTTTTTATCATGTTTTATTATTTATTAAAACTCATACCCATTTTGGTCATTTTATAACCAAACTTATTTTTACTCAATCATAATTCAAATAACTTTTTACTAATCTCACTTTTACAAACTAGCTTTTTTGAATTCCAATCCAAACACAATTCAACTTATCCAATTTAGCTTTTACCTAACTTCATTTTTTTATAAACTACTTTTTTAATAAACTACTTTTCTAATCCCTGATTCAAACGGACCCAGTATTTTGCTTCAGCTTTAAGACTGTCCAAGTTGTCATTAAGCCTTCTCCTCTTCCGCCCATACATCTGTTCCCCACATGCATTGCAACTTTCTAATATTATTATATATCATCACTTTAATTATATATATGTATAAATTATTCTGTATCGGTAAAATATAGAGATGTGTTGCATAATAAAATAATAAACGTAAAATAGCTTTATACTGTGTATCATCAACAACCAGCAACAACTACACAGGTCTCATGAGCTCACTCTCGCCTCACTAAAGTAAAATTACAAAATACAATATATATTTCCATTAATATATTTTCTTTTTCTCTGTTTTTTGGTGGCCAACTTCCATTAATATATTTTCATTTCCATTACAATAAGAGGAATTTAACTAATTAATGACGTTTTGCTGTTAGGTATCGAATAAAACATACCAGAGGATCAGAGGTCAACGCACAGAAACAGAGGAGGCCAGAGAGAAACAGAGTTACGTAACGGGCGAGGAAGTACTTGATCGTGCTTTCTGTGTGGCACGGCGAAGAAAGCAGTGTTGATCGGATGCAACTACCCAGGGACGAAGATCGAGCTGAGAGGCTGCGTCAACGATGTGAGGAGGATGAACAATTGCCTGATTGAGCGTTACGGATTCTCCGATAACGATATCACCGTCTTGATCGACACCGATCCCTCCTGCATCCAGCCAACCGGGAAGAACATACGATCGGCAATCAAGAAGATGGTACGGTCGGCGGAGCTAGGGGACGCTTTGTTCATACACTACAGCGGCCACGGCACGCGCCTCCCCGCCGAGACAGGGGAAGCCGATGACACCGGTTACGATGAGTGCATTGTTCCTTGCGATATGAATCTCATCATCGGTAACCTTACCTTTCCTTCCTTTTCCGATCATAATTTTCGGTGACAACAAAAAATAAACTATACAATGAACAATTTTGGCCAGGTCTCATCATCTTACTTAATATGATGATTTATATTGATGTTTTAAAATTATGGACATATACTCTGGCAAAAAAAAAAAAAGTACATATGCACATAATTTTCAATAATATTTATTAATGTAAATTAAACAATTAGATTATGAAGAAAAGATAAATAAAAAATAAAATAGCTACTTTTACATTTTAGATCAAAGATTTGAATTGATGCAATATATTTTCATTATTGTGCACAATATTGCATAACTATTTCTACCAGAAACAGGCATAAATATCATTACATTACATAAGTTTTGCCGCTTGCATATAAATAACAAAAGAAATATGTAAATGTATTCTATCTTATATGACCAATACAGCAACCGAGGTATTAAAAACGGAGAAAGAAAAAACAGGGGGGAAAAGGGCAGAGACAGAGCTACCCATTAGCTTCAAGACAGAAACAGAAGCATCAGAATTTCAGACGGAATCCTTAGATTTAATCATGTTAAGGGTGCAATGGCTTATTTCAAAGTAATCACCAGAAAAAAAAAGTCCCAATACTCGAGTCAGAATGGGGGGGGGGGGAATTGATTCTTATATTGAAAGAGTTATTTCTACTCACAGTAAAGTTACCTGCAGTTGGATTTAGAAATGCTTAAATCTGACCAATATGATATGGTTGTGAAAGGGAGGGGGGGGGGGAAGAGTAATCACAAAGAGAATCGGTTTGTGGCCAGCTTTACACAGATTCAAATGTCAAAATGCTAAATGAATGTTTGTATAACCAGATGATGATTTCAGAGAATTTGTGAAAGAAGTCCCAGAAGGTTGCAGAATCACAATTGTAGCAGATTCATGCCACAGTGGTGGCCTCATAAGAGATGCGAAGGAACAGATTGGAGACAGCACCAACACAAAGATACAAGAACAAGGCAATTATCACCAAGATTCAGGCTCTAGTTTTGGATTCAGAAGATTTCTTCTTCAAAGAATGGAGCAAGAAATTGAGTCTCGTGGAATCCACATCCCTTCTGCATTTCGTCACCGTAGAAGACGACATCATGAGGAAGAAGACAAGGAGGAGGAAGAAGAAGAAGATGACGAGGAAGGAAGGGATATGGAGGATGGCACTGTGAAAAACAGGTCACTGCCTCTCTCAACGCTGATTGAAATGCTCAAGCAGAAAACCGGGAAAGATGATATAGATGTTGGGAAAGTGAGACTCACCCTTTTCGATATCTTTAAGGAAGACGCTAGCCCTAAAGTGAAGAAGTTCATCAAGTTTGTCTTCAACAAACTCCAACACCATGGAGGTATGTAAAACCATAACAGAGAGAGAAAAGTTATTTCTTTTATCTTTTATGGGGTCATTTAGGTATTTAGTCCTCTAGTACTGGACAAAAATCAAGTACTTACGTACAATTCCCAAGCATTTATTAAGTTTTTTTCTAAAATAAAAATATGACTATTCAATTTTTGTACTGATTCAGCACTATATGTTTGAGAACTGTGATTTCCCCTTACCATTTCCGTATTTTACTAATCAGGAGGTGAAAGTGAAAAACAAGAGGGTGGATTCTCGGAGATGGTAGGAAGTCTTGCCATAAAGTTTCTGAAACAAAAGCTGAATGAGAATGAAGAGTATGCAGAACCTGCCATGGAAACAAATGTAGCCAATAATCAGGAGGTAGTCTCAACACTCACTATCAACTTATCCATTATTGGTCTTTAAATTAGATTAGATGGCAGCCCTATGCATTACATGGAGTATACTGTTTATATGAACTGTGCTATTTCCTATGGATTTATAGTATGATCTGAACATATGATGAGTTTGGTTATTTACAAGGTATATGCTGGAGCTGGAAAGGATAGTGTTGTAGGTGGGGGAATTCTGATGAGTGGGTGTCAGAGTGATCAAAAATCAGCAGATGCGAGTCCTCCTGGGAATCCTGGAAAAGCGTATGGAGCTTTCAGCAACGCAATTCAGTTAATCATTCAGGAGACTGATGCTCAAGTCACTAATCAAGAACTGGTTTTGAAGGCTACGAAGCTGCTCAAGAGTCAGGGTTTTGCTCAGGAGCCTGGACTCTATTGCAGTGATCACCATCTTCATCGTACTTTTGTGTGCTAATTGGTGTTGGATCCTCAAGATTTTTCTACATAATCTGATATTATCAATTACGAAGAAAATTAGCTGCTATATGTGGGCTAACACTTGATTAATTAGGGCGTTTTTCCTGTGTAATTCTGTGCTAAGTCCTGCATGTCCCTACGGGGCGTGTGTGAGTGTTTCTTTCTTTTCTGTTAAATACGCACCTCGCTGGGGGGGGGAGGTCTCTCATTCTATTCGTTCATTAGGCGAAAAGTGGCTTGAATATATATATATATATATAAATAATAGTGAAAAGTTCAATCTTCTAAAAAATAAAATAAAACTCTACCCAATCGTCAATTTCATAAGTATACCAAAAACGAAACCATAGTCCTAAACCGATTGAAACATATATAACCTCCGATCCTAAATATAAAAACTAGCTGAGAATTCAATTTGGTCTTAAATATAATATTATAATTTACTTTGTCTTTCATATTTGTTTATCTTTTCTCCAAACTGGTCTCGTGGTGATTACACGTGTGAAAAAGTTTTTATTCTAATTTATATAATTAACAAAATTATTTTTTAAAAAATAAGACATATTTATTACAAATAACTAACTTAATTAATTTTATTAATATTTTACAAATTAGTTATCTAACTCTTATAGTTATAGTAAGGACCGAAAGTAGTACATTAACAATGAATTGTAAAGGTAGTATATAGTTCAAAGTATTGGTTTGCATCTACTACGAGCATGCAATGTGTCAGACACTCGAAGTTACTGTATTTAACGGATTGCAAAACTGGCTTTGATTTGTAAATGCAAGTTTTCTTCCTTATCATAAACCTATTAATTATATCTTTATAATTATCTGTTTATAATTTGTCATTTTATTTAGAGCATTAAATATATAAACATTTACAAGAAGAAAGGTTGATCTCCCGATTACTTTTTGAGAAGAAAAATGCATAACAGTTGCCTTAATACGTTATGATTTCTGCATCTTCTGGGTAGCTTTATTTCTTATTTTAGAAAATGAAAAAAGAAAAAGATGATGATACAAGTTTCATGGAAATTAACAAGGGAAGAAAATCTCACCAAAGGAACATGAAAACTACAAAATATCAATTCAGGATTATTTCATATTTTAACAGGTTTTGACTAGACTTGTAATAATAACACATTGTTGTATAAATTTCTGATTTGGGATTTAGTAATTTACAGTTTCTTTTGCTGAGATTTTCTCAATTAACAAACTCAGAAGAAAAGACAAAAAGAAACCAGTATAGGATATATCTTCGTCAATGGCTTCTTTTAATTGCCCAACATAGAGAAAACATGGCAATATGAACATACGTGCAGGTTATTTTCCATATTACGAGTAGTTCTTAAATCGGGTACACTATGATCTTGGCCTCATATTGTGTTTGTGGTGAAGTTAATCTTCATTCTTTAATGACTTGCAGAAGTTTTCTTGTTTCAGAATGTCTAAAGGATAGCCATTACCTTTTCGCTGGTCCAAGTGAGACAGATTGAGCTGTCTTGGTCTTAGTAGAATGATATTGCATATGCTCTCACTTTTTAGCCAAAATATCACCCTCATCTCATTTTATTTTTTGGCCTAACATCTCATTTTGTTTTAAAAAATGAGTGAATTAGCAATTGATTGGCTAATTTAGTTTTCAGTACTCCAAGATCAGCAAATGTGCAGGTTAAGAAATTTGTACTCGTTGACTTTAGAATACTTATGCTAGATTGGCACGACCATGAAGAACCAAATTGTTAGTTTACTCTTTGGAAATGCTACTGTGAACTGAAACTCTAACTCTGTTGTTTCATACACACAATGAAGATTGTTACGTGGAGAAGAGACCAAATGTGAGTTTAACTGATCTAAGCATCTCAAAATAGTCAAAAGCTAACATTACAATAAGCTGAGGCTTGGGAATAAGAACGGATGCTACAGCAGTGAGTAGGCATGATCAATTGGAAGGGACATGGTAGTATTTGCCTTTACACATGCACCTGTAAACAATAGGGCAGGATTCTGCAGAAGAGCATTTGAAGCTCACTATCACTCTCTTGCAAGGAAAGCATGCCCCGCATGCATGGGAGCAGTCCGGCAAGCTCGAACCATACGGGTACATCATCTGTCCCTACAAATTACAAGGGATTTATCTTTGTTAAGTGACATACATATAAATAGTCTCATGGAAAATCACTGTGAGGTCCCAGGAAAGAAATGTAATGACAAGGAAATGGTTATAGGTCCATGCTGCTCACTTATTATAAGACTTTTTGGTGATTACATTTCTTTCTTAGAACCTCAGTGATTTTCCCTAGTATTATTGTGATTTCTATTAGTGTTATGGAGTTCATCAGTAAATTGAGTTAAACACACCCTCTAGAATGAAGATTACTGCAACTTTGAAAGCTTGTACTATCAAGAAATTATTCTGAACAAAGACTGTTGTTCAGGAGATCAATGACTTCAGATGCATTTAGATAAATAAACAAACAGTTGGAAACAAACCTCATCTCCAGTTGCAGCTTTCTCTTCTTGCAGGCTTACTAATGAGTCTGTAGAATGGAAATAAAGGAAGGATATATGATATAAAATTGAAGTGGCAATACTGTTATGGCATTAATATTTATTTGCATGTACGCATAAGCTTGCTTAACTATTGATGTAGGTAGCATTTAGTATGCATGCAGTTACGTCAAAGGGAAAAAAAAACTAGGGTAGCTGAGGTACTAAGTTAAAACTGAAGGAGATGACACTTACCATGATCACCTATCTCTCTGAGGCTCCAACCATGGGAAAATAACACAAAGATAATCAGAAGTAGGAACGATTTGTGGATTCCAAGCCATAAAAACTTCATATTTTGCAGCAGTTAGACAGAAGCGATGTGAAAGATAATGGTGTTGAAGAAGAGAAGAGGTTCTTATAAATGTGAGCTGATGGCCACATCTGCAGTATTTCACATGATCCACGGCCATGTTTTGAAAGTTTCACATGTTTTGTTTGAGTCATGGGAAATTAAATGGAACTAGGCATTATGACTCGGAAAGGTATTTATGAACTTCAATTATAACTAGCTGCTTTATTTGATAATTATTGCACTCAAACTATAGATGTCTTATTGGCAAAGTATGCTGGCTTGCTTACTGCCACTCTTTCACAGTCTCACCTGTCATATGCAGAAAGATGAGTTAAAAGGACGTGGTGAAGAGGTTAATTTTAAATGAGAGCATTCAATGAAATTTATTTGGAACCTCTCATAAGGGAAAAATAGTGCCAAGAATTAGTGTTAAGTGTGAATGAGTTCACAAGTAGTTTTTGATTAAAATTTTCTTCAGTTCTAAGGGAAGTTGTACTTGGTATTTCCTTCGCTTCTTGATATAATATCTCATTCACTTTGTTTTTCATGATTATTATGTTTCTCTAAACTAATTTATTTAACGTATAAAATAATATATAATCTAATATTACACATGAGTAGTTTAAAGAGATTAAGTCACATTTATTATAATTAACTAATTTATCTTTTTTTTTAATCTACTCAAATTAATTAAAAAGTTTTTATATTAAACACTGAAAGGAGGGCCACTGAATTGTTTTCAAGAGACACTTTTGTAGATTTTGAATATTACAAAGAAAATATGGAATAATTCACTCTGACTTTTTATAATATGAAAGCAAGTTCACATTGATATGATATAAGTGGACAAAATGAGGGACGAAGATTTAAAGCGGAGTTGTTGTGCGATGAGCAGCAAGAGAGGGGGCAAAGCATTGAAGAGGGTGTCTGACATAGGCGTGAAGATGGGGTGTTCGGAATGAATGAACTTGTTGCTTGCTTGCGTACTATTTTTTCTTTTTCTTTCTTTCTTTGTTTTTTTCTTTTTGGCAGACTTTTTGCCCTCTTTAATTGGATTCACAACTCTTACGTACGTTATTCAAAATCTAAGTCATCACTTACTGTTTATTAGTAATATTCTGTTGACTCTCTACTTAAGTGTCTTCCATAATTTAGTACGAGATTTTATCTTTGTTCCATGATTTTTCTGGTACTTAATATCTTCCGGTCCTTAATATAAGATCTAATTGTTGAGTTGGTTTTGGTCCTAAAGATAAGACCATTTCTCATATTTATCAATTTTCTCTAAATTACCCCTATAGATAGTCCCTCAACTATAATCAAGTACAAGAAGGAAATGAGATATTAAGAAAGATGATTATGGTGTTTTAGAAAAGATGTGTCACATTTTTATAATTAACTAACTTACCTAACTTTCTTAATCTAATCAAATTAGTTAAATGGCTCTTATATTAAGAACCGGAAGAGTAGTATCATTATCATTTTTTGTTAGGTCCTTTTGTAATTCTATTTATACTTTATCTTGATGTGTTTTGACCAATAAAAGTTGGTCTAGTTAGTGAGTCAAGAATCAGTTCGTAACTCACAAAAACATGAGTTTGAATTGTCTACATTTAAATTTAAAATTAGTATATTTAGTATGCGTAAAATTTGAAATAAATTGTTAATCTTTTATAACTGGTATCATAAAAAAGAATTTATTATTTTAAAAATTTAAATTAAAAAAATTAAATTTGAAATATTAAAAATATAATTTAGTCTCTCTGTTTTTTCCCCCCTTTTATGATCAATGGGACAATACGCCCATAAAGTTTATTAATTAAACTTGTTCATTAGCTCTTTACACTCAACAAGACGAAAATCAAATTCAAAACTAACAAAATAAAAATTCTGGATTTGAGCTAAGGATAGCGAAAGAATCTGCCAACCTATTACTATTTTCTCTATGCCTGTGTCTGAACTTTACCTATAAGAACAAAAACCAATTGTCTCTGAGGTCTTCCACCATAAAAAAGACCTCTCGGCATATTAATTTCAACAGCAAAATCTCTCAATTTCACCTTTTTGCATCAATACAAAAACTCTCAAGTGAGATTCAGAATTCCCCACACATACTTCTGACTCAGCGTTGCAGGTTGAGGAGGCAGAATATATAAAATCGGCCTCAACCAAAACCTTGTTCCTACAATGACTGAGGAAAAGGGTGAAACAATTTCCACCGCTCCATGACAGGGTAACATTTTTGCAATATTTGATTTTTTTTTTTTTGGTGCGTGTTTAAAAATTCAGTTTTATGTGACTCATGATGGTATTAGCGAAGGCTCGTTTAATTTAACTAAAGTCTTCTTAAATTTATCTCTTTGGATCCTCTCTTCACTTTTTTTTTTAAATGAGAATTTATTATTAATGTTATCATATTCACGAGTTTAAACAAACTCGTGATGAAGTTATAAACACGGATCATAAGCTCAATTCGTAGATTAATAAAAGTTTACGTTTATTAATAAATTGATATTAAAAGCATATAATGAAGTAATTAAAATAAAAATATTTGACAACAATTTCATTTAAATATATTTTAAATCCAAATAATTAAAAAAATTCATTAATCCTCACAATTTTCATGTTCAACAAAAATATTTTTTTATAAAATTTATATATAAAGTTACTAAACTAAATATAATTAAATCTTGAAATTTAGTATGAGTTTAAAAGTAAATTGACATTATTTTATAAGTTAGAAATATAAAAACAGTAAACTTAATGAGTTAACTCATAGGTTTAACCTAACTTATACCTAATATGAGTTTAAAAACAAATCAACACAATTTTATAAGTTAAAAATACAAAAATCTTAAACCCAGAGAATCAACTTATGAGTTTAACGTTAATGCTTCTCACCAAAAATAAAACAAAATGCAAAAGAACAATTATATGGGAGGAAAGGAAAACGGAAATATGGAAATCCGTATAATTAGAAAAATCCTTCCTCTTCTTGCTTTTCCTTTGCCACGCTGACGCCTGACGGTGCTGTGAACCCTAATTTGAACATCCATGTAATGCTTCTTGTTCTTCGATTATCTGCTTCGTCAGTCTCCCCTCTTCGATAAAGGTAGCTTCTTGATTTTGGATCTTGGATCAGTGCTTGCCGTTTGAATTTGCATCGCGCTCATTGAATTCTTCTCGGATGTTGAAAGGTAAGTTTTTTATTTATATCATTGTCGTTGTACTCGTTGATCTTCCTTTTTTGTCCCCTTCATTTTTAATTCCATCTGGGAGGCTATGAGTTTTGGACTTCTATTCATACCTTACTCGGTTTTAACCACCTGAGTGTCGTGGCGTTTTACTTGAGTTACATGTCGAAGACCAATGTGAGGGAAATTAGGGTTTCAATTGATGGTTAAATTTACTGTATGTAAGAAAAGATATTCCTTGGGAAGGAGTTTGAAATGTGTAACAGGCATGAGATAGTAAATTTTGTTTTTTTTTTGGGGTACAATGACATAGTGAATTTGAAGCTGTTTTGTAGGCAAGGTAAATACTTTGAACGTTATCAAAAAAAAAAAAAAATACTTTGAACGTTGATGACACGCAACGATAGGGGTTTTTCTTTTCAATATTCATTATTAGTTTCACACCCTTTCGCCAACAAGTGCCGGTGCCGATATTGGGCTGAAAAGGAGAAATAGTGTATAAACGGAAGTTTTTCATTTCTTGTGGCGTTTCTACGTAATATAGGAATAAAAAAAGGGTTAAGAAAATTAGTCAGTGAATGAGTACTTTTAATTTCTTTCTTCTGTCTTGTTTTATACCATGTAACAAATTCCTCATGTTACCATGGGCTGATATGACCTATGAAATTGGGATAATAGGTCAGTATTGTCAGATTCCTAAGTAATTAGCAGCCTCTCATGCTTGCTTTCCATAGTAATAATAGTTTGAAGAGAAAATCTCATTGGAGTTTAATTTTTGGTGGAAGTAAAAATGATCTTCTTCTTTAGCTTTCTTTCATTTTTTATATGAATAAACGTGTTATAATAATGATTTTAGATGTTATTTCTAATCTTTTTGTCCCAGTCAGTTTCATGTTGTTATTGTTTTTTGACATGAAATAAAGTGATGGTATTCTGAAGCAACTTATTTAATCTACCCAAGACATCAGCTTCAATGATCGGCATTTGCCAGTGATGCATTTGTTACATTTTGGGATGGAAAAAAATAGTTGTATTAGTGTGGCTTTGATAGGAACTAGCGCCCTTTACTAGTATTGTGTTTTATGTTTTATGTCTATTACGTGATTTTGTATTAGCCATCATAAGTGTCTTATGTCAGTTATTTTAAGTTAGTGTCAGTTTTACAAATTTCCTATATCAGTTATTTTAAGATAATGTCAGTTAATGTCAGTTGTATATGTTTAGGAAAGAGTAGTTATCTGCAGTTACTGTATTAGGCTATAAATATTAGGCATGTATTCTATCAATGACATGGATGGATGAATGAATGATTATACAGTTTCCTAACTTTCTCCTCTGTATCCCTAGAACTAGATTCTGGTTCTAGTCTGTCCCTTTTCTCTCTCCCTTCGTTTCTTCTTTTCTTTCTATTTCTTTCATTCTTCTTCTCTCTTCTCTCTCTTCCCCTTTCCCCCTATTTCTACTTCTATTTTCCCGATTCTAACAGGCTTGGATAAGATGGTTTACATAGTGCATTCACTTTGTCATAAATGTTATTATGCATATATGCAATAAAATCTTGAAGTCCTGTTGTAACATTTAGGAATAAATTTGTTATGCCATTCATGTGGCTTTTCTTTCTCTTCTGGGATGATTCAGTGGTTCAAACCCTTGTCTTTCTTGATTGAAGATTAAGTTATGTTTTCCTTGGGTTCTGCTACTAACTTTCCATTGATTGTGGAACGCTTGCACTAATTACCAGTGACCTTACATATGAGAACTAAACCAGGAATGTCATTTTTCATTGTGACTTTGTTTCTGTACATATTTATAGAGCCATTATGTGAATAATTTAAT